CCTTTCGAAAGTGCAACTTTGTGCATTTTTCTTGGCCACGCTCGCGACAATTTCCGTGTGTACATGGTCAGTATGTCTTCCTATGGCGTCGTTTCAACAGTTACTGCTCCTGTCTTGAAACAAGTTACTCAGTCCCATCTGATCGAGTTCGAGACTGAGTATGAAGCCTACAAGGAGAAAGTAGCTGACGTAAATCGAAATCGTGACGCATCTCGCCACATCTCTCCTGCCTGCGCGGGGGAGAGGAGGAGGGGGGAGGGTTGCTTGAAGGAGAAAAGGGTTTGGGAGAAAAAAGTGGGCAGTCCGCGAGGTGCCGATGCAGATAGATGCCTCGGTGGCATTGAGGATGGATGGAGGTGAAAGTGGGGCGGGGGGGAGTGTTTGTCCAGTAGGTCAGGTAGGTTGCCAACGGTATTCAACCTGGCAGCGTGTCACTGCTGCTGCGCGTATTGCCGCTTATGCCGATGTCTCCGAGATTCCGAGATTGTGAAACAGCAGAGCTCATAGACAGCGCCCGCATTAAAATAACACCCAACAAAACGCAATATTCTTCACCCCCTGGGACATACATCCCTCGCCCTCCGCCAGATATTCCCCCACCTTTCCTCCCCTCAATCTCTTTCCCTACCCTCCCCACCCCCTCCCCCTCTCCCCCTTCGCCCCGCCGTCCCATCATGTCGATCCGCACCCTCGGCGATGTCGTCACGCGCTCCCCGCCCCCCCTCACGCTCCCGGAGACCGCCACGGTCTTCTCCCTGGCCACCGCGCTTTCTCGCGCGCGCTCCGACGCGGCCGCCATCCTCTCGGTCGACTCGAACAAGCTGGCTGGCATTGCGACCTCGCGCGACGTCACCAAGTGTGTCGCGCGCGCCGAGGCCCTGCACCGTCTCCCGGTCGCCTCCATCATGACCCCGCACCCTGTCACGCTGCCGCCCTCCGAGACCCCCACCAACGCCCTGCTCCTCATGCGCGAGGGCGGCTTCCGCCACCTCCCCGTCGTCGCCCCCGACGATCACCGCCTGCTCGGCGTCGTCGACGTCCTGCACCTCGTGTACGACGCCGTCGCCGCCCTGCAGAAGGTCGCAGACCTCATCCCGTCGCGCCGCGTCTTCGAGTTCATGCGCGCCGCACGCGAGACTATGGCCAGGCCCACCCTCGGCCCGCTCGTCAAGGATAATCCCGTCGCCGCGCTGCATCCGCATGAATCTGTCGCGGCCGCCTGCGAGGCCCTCGTGCGTGCCCGCGTCGCCGCAGTCGTCGTCGTCGATCGCCAGCACACCCTGCAGGGCATTTTCACCTGTCGAGACGTCGTCAGCCGTGTCGTCGTCCCGGGCTTGGACCCGACCATCACTAAGCTGGCGGATGTCATGACACCAAATCCCGACTGCGCGTCGGCAGAGTTTACAGTTTTGCACAGTTTGCAGAGGATGCAGGCATGCGGGTATAGACATTTGCCCGTCGTCGCACCCGGCACGAGGATTGTCATCGGCCTTTGCGATGTGCTGCAGCTCACAACCTCCTCCATCATGGAGATGTCCAACGTGGAGCCTGTCGGCCCCAAGCAGACCTCATCGTGGGGGGTTACAAGCATCTTCAATAGCCTATTTTCGAGCTCATACAGGGAGCAGCCCGAGCAATTCGCCCCACAAGCGCCCGCGCGTGTTTCCTTCAAGCCTTCTATCGGCCCGTCTGAGGCGTTGCCACGTACCCATCCCTTGTCGACCACGAGAAGGCAATACAGCAACATGAGCAGCACCATGTCGAGCGTCACGTCGTATAGGGGCATACAAGGCGATGTCGCCTTGGCCTCGTTCAAGTTCAAAGACCTCAACCATGAATACCGCCGCATTAAGATGCCCATGCCGCCCGCGCCCGGCGCCTTCGACCAGTTTGTTGTTGATATCAGAAGGCGCTTTGCAGGGTCGGCAAACGTGGGGCCCATCAAGATCAAATACGTTGACGAGGATGGCGATGAGGTTTTACTGTCCAATGACGAGGACCTCGCGTCGTGTTACGAAGACTTTCTCGAGTCCAAGAACAGGACGATTCATCTCAGGGTTTACGACACGGAGAGGCCGACTTCTAGTAACTTGCAGTCCCCCATTTCTTCCAATGCCAGCTCCATGCTCGGCAGCCCGCGGCCAAGGGCCCTTCCGGCAAACCCCTCACAGCTCGACTACAAACAAGACCTTCTTTCGAGCGAAACCCCTCTTGTACAAGACAAGGCCTCCCCTGCGGCGGCACAAATTCCGGAAATGAAACAAGCGCCAATTACCCCGTCCATGCGCAAGGCGTCAGAAGCGCAGGAGAAGATGATGGACGGCAAGATGGAAGACGCGATCGCTCTCTACAATAAGGCCATACAGCAAGACCCTGAAAACGCAAGAGCACGAGGTGGACGTGGCGCCGCTCATTTGATAAGTGGCGATTCCACTGGTGCAGAGGAAGATTACCGAAAGGCACTTGATTTACTGGAAAAAGGCAAGGGAGGGAACGTGGGGGACATCACGTTTCAGATGTGCATTGTCGGTCTCGTGGAATCTTTGATCGACCAACGTCGGTACGAAGAAGCTGCCCAAGTATCTACGAGTATCGATTCGAAAATAGACAACCCAGGATGTATAGATGCTTTCCGAGACGAGCTTGACTCTGCGGGGAATGCGGCCCGCCAAGCACTCGAGGCGGGAGAGTTTGGCGTCGCCATGAGTTGCTACTCGAATGCATTGCGCGTCGAATCTGCATATCTGCAGCTTGTCGAAGATGAACGGGGAACTGCTGGTCTTCGATTAGGTAGAGCAAAATGCTATAAGGCTCTAGAAGATTTTGATATGGCGTTGGAGGACTATGAAGCAGCTGCGCTTCTAGAGCCGGAAAGTGTGGCTGCGCACAAAGGAAGCGGAAAGTGTTTGGCAGAGCTGGAACAACTTGACAGGGCCCTCGAAGCTTACGAACGTGCCCACAAGTTGGACCCAGCAGACGAGGATGTCAACAAGGAGATGCAGCTCATTCGTGTCATGCTGCCGGATCCGCTTCAATCGAAGAAGGAGGAGATTGCAAAGCTTGGAGCCCTTTTAGGTGGAATGAACCTTCCAGGAAAACAGGATTAGCTGCCAGGTTATGATTCATGTTATGTGAATTTAAAACTATCCAGAAGAACGACGGAAAGCGATGCGCTTGTCACAAGAAGGAATATCAGGGGAGGAAGGCAACAGAACCGCTTCAAAATAGTTCGGAGCTGAAGAACTACTATTACGACTCTCGTCAAGGAGCTTGAACTCTCTGGAAGACTTGGAAAGCATGGACGGACAAAAGCGATGTATCTGCGATGTCTAATGCGAAGTGATCACCTCGTGTAGGTTTGAGCGTCTCAGGGTGTAAGTTTTAAGTGGTGAAACCAAGTCCTTGCTGATGACGAGACCCACTAAGTCGGGCATGGTGCGATCACTGGTTGCATTCCGCGAATATCTTGTTTGACACTTTTTTGTTGGTGCAAGTTGCACGATTTGGATTCGACACACGTTCTAAACATGTGTATACATTCCCAACCACAAACGCTTATGGAGGGTTGTCAACGCAATTTGCAAGTCACATATTTCTTGCCCTTTAAGATAGAGTTGCTCGTTTCCTGGATGCCCTGTATATATGTATCAGACAGGGGTTTCTGTTGGCCCTCATCAACGACTAGAGTCCCGTGATATTCCTTCCGCTTCTCCTGTCATGCTCAGGTCCTTCACGTCTCCATCGTTTTCGGTGTTCATTCCGATTGGATGCCACTACTCTGTACTGCACTGAAACACTCCGTGTTTCTGCGACTGTTCGCGAGGTTGGGTAATTGGGCCCCCATTATTTATGTCCAGTTTGAACCAAAATAATTTCCAGGCTTAAATTTGATGCATCATCTCATCGTAGTACAGAAGTGCAAGGTATTGTATTGGACACTTATCGATATGCGCGCTTGCAGCACAAAAACTTCCGCTCGTTTGAATCTTTTCTCGAATGCACACTTGCATCTGCTCGTCTTGCTCTTTGAGCTTGGCTGTACATACGGTTTGATTTGCTTGTCCGTCTGTGTGATCTGAGGAATGAAGCTCTGCTACGTTGCATTCGGTTTTCATACTTCTGAGTATTTCAAGCCACTCAATGTTAACCATTACGACGTCGGACTACTACTTCGTGAAACAAAGAAGCAGAGGAAGAACTCTATGTTGAAGAAAACTTGCTCAGCTATGTGCGTTTACGACCATGGCTACTGATAGGGTATGTTTGAACTCGGATGCCCTGGCAATCTTTGCTAAAAGCAGGTGCTTTAAAAGTGCAAGAGACAATCGCGCATGTCGCTTCGGCCTAGTCATCTCTTTCGATCCCTTGTACACATCAGTATTTACAAAACACAATTGTCACGTCGCGTGTTTTCACGAATTCAGTGATGCCAACGTATCGTACAAGTACTATGCACCATTGTTCACTTCCTTCGTTCTTGGGCACTCTAAACAAATGAATCCAAGATAACCTGCGCAAGGTGACTGCTTCGCTAGACGCTCAATACTTCATACTGTGCTGCATCCAATCCTAAATCAAACCGGTCAACACTCAGCGCTTATTCAGAAATTGAGTAAGATGATGATTGCGATGCCCGTTTCGAAGTATCGTTTGATCGCGCCATGGAAGTGTTCGCTAGAAGCTGTTTCACAACCCATATGTAAGACGTAACCGGCACAATACCAGAGTCGCAAACTGACCACCCAGATGACATCAGAACCCCAGCGACGACGGGCCTCCCAGCTGCGTTGCTGGCACTCACATCAATAATTGGTCCGCCTGAACTACCAGACCAACTGGCAAGCTCCAATGAATAAAATGTGCCACCCTGAAACGGTTCGAATACGATTGGAGTAAAGTTGAGGTCAATGACGAGACGCTCACCATTCGACACATCACTAGGGTACTGCGGAAGAAAGTAAGACTTCGGGACGTTGTATTGGACCTCGTCAGTCAACGTCGCCACTGCCTCGAGCGGTCCACGAAACTTTCCCTCAATTTGAAATAGCACTAGATCATTCCCCTGCCCACTCGTCATTTCTTCATTGTCCGCATCGATGTAGGACTGGGGAATACAAGCACGACGGAGTGGATACACTTCGTAGATGGGGTCGCTCTTGGAAACCTTACCTGAAATCGCGTAAAGGAAGGACGGTACAGGCCCCGCATCGCCTTCTTCGGTACCATAAATCCACCGCGGCGTATCCGAATCAAATTGGCGGTGCCGATAAACGCTGCGCGATTAAGCCATAACAGATGTAAAACAAAAACAGCAACCTGTCAATACATGGACCCCTGATCATCTGATGCAGTCCAGGCCACCCCTGTGTGCATTACTTACCAATGCGCGCTAGAAAGAATCAAGTCATCTGCAACAAATATTCCACTGCATGCTGGGGAGGCCATTTGCTCTACATCCACAGAATTTGTGAGCGGGGCATCAGTCTCGACAATTGTGACAATAGCACTAAGCGGAACGCCTTCGTAAGCAAGGGCCTCTTGCGGTACAGAGAGGACTTCTACATCTCCTTGGCAGCGAACAATGGAACGCATCTCGGGCGGCTTCCTCTTGCGTGGCGGCGCAACATGTGACCGGAATTTTGTGCTGTTCCCATCCGATAGTTGGAGCCGAAGCTTGGAGACCGCAGAAAGTTCCTGCGTCCGGCACGCACTTTGTTGGGCTTGGGCACAGAACAGAGCACAAAGAAGGACGCCCGAGACAAGGAGATGGAAGCGCATCGCAATACAATTTCGAAGTGAGACTCTTGAGGCAAAACTACCCGCACCCCGCGCGTCTCACTTCAACCAATTCAGACCTATTTTGTGATGTGCTTGCGTCACTATCTTTCCCTGGCTCCAGGCGGTACGACTTTATAAGACTTGTTGCCAGGTGTACGAACCAGCCTCGCGCCATGTGTGCCTTCCGCCTTCCTTGGCGTTGGCAATGTCCCCAGGGGCTAATGCATCCTTTGGGCAAACCTAACGGCAGAAGATTGATATTGAGTTGGCGTTCTGTGGAAGGCTGGAAGGCCGGGCCAGATTCGAGGCGCGGAATGTGGCAAAAGGTACAGGAATCATGTGTGAGACTGAAGAAACCCGGCCTGGAGAGACGACGGACATTCTGGGCCCCTAGGCCACGTGGATCAGCAAAGTTAGAAAGAGGTGAAGCGGCCCCTCTACGCGGTTGGATAAGGGATGAAGTGCTTGTCGATGCGTTGGGAGTGGGCAAAACTTGAGTTGGCCATGATCGTTGAGATGTCTCTAGGCGATGCGAGCATGGCGTTTGGGAGGAAGATGTGGAGAGGTTAAGTCGGTGGCACCAACGTTGACGATGGCAATGTTGCGAGTTGGCGATGTTGGTGCGGTGAGGCGATCGAATCTTGATGGCCTTTTGTGAGCACCAACCGACAGTCGAACGAACCGTTCCGCCTCCTGAAGCAGACACCCCACCCCGTCTTTGCAACCAAATATGCATTTCCGTGCAAATTTTGCATCTTTTGCCTTGCGATTCTTTTTTCTCATGAAAATCCATCGTATCGAATGTCATCGCCCATCACCGCCGCTCTTACGTGTGTACGTTTCTTAAGGAAGTTCTTCCTTGACATTTGTCTTTATCGTTCTCGTCTTTGACTGACCCGGTCTGCTCACATTGTCCATAGACACAAATCACATCTTCATAAAATATTCTTCAAATTGCTATCGTGCATGCCCTTCCTACTTCAACGCGCACAGAAAGGCACACACTAAATACCTCTCCCCCCTCCATGAACAAGACAGTGGACCGACACTACAAAAGTTCCATTATATCTGCTCCAACAAATAACTCGACCCGTTCCGTCCCCCGAAGCGCTCACCACCAACTTGCATCATTATGCATTCTCCATCTTCCGCCGCCATGCGAGTCCGCTCCACTACGACCTACCCAATTTCACCTGTGAAAGCTCCTCGACGTGCCTCTTCATCTGAAGGCCTGCAGCGTCGCCTCCTTGATCTTTATGCCAAGCAGCGCCGTCTGCCCTTTTACCTCGTGCGATTGCCAACTTTCTTCGCTTTTCTGCTTGTCTTTCTTACCGCTTCTCATTTATCTTGGAAACTCGGCAGAAGAGGAGTCGCAGTTGGGCTTCGAACCATTTCAAGATTCACGAGTAAGATGGCCACCGCTGTGGATGGGGTGCACCCTTCTCTAGATGTAACAGCGGACCGAGTCTTCAGGGATGACATGATGGAGAACAAGCAAGTTTTGTCTTCTAATCATTACCGTTACCGCCGTCGCCGCCGAAACCATGCCCAAACTGCGAAAAAACTAGTGGGTCACCATCAGGGTTCAGGGATTGCACCATCAGGTCATAGTTCATCTTACTCATCAAACCATTCTGGTCAGCGCAAGGTGCCGATTCATGCAGGTACTCACCCAGAATCACAAGCTCTACGCTCCCTGAATTACGTCACGCCTCGTTCAGTTCCAGCGGATCACGTTTCTCGTCATGCAGCATTTTCTGAGCCCAAAGAGTGTGGCCAATGGCGTCGCATCGCTCGCAACTTATCTGCGGTGCACCCATATCGCAAGCATTTCACATCTTTGGACGTAACCGACTGGTTTCTATACGTTGCGGTCTTCAATGAACTCTTTCATAAAAACGCAGCCAATAGGCACAGGCGGCCGAGATATCTAGACGTGGCTGCCAATCACGCCAGGAGGTGGTCGGCTACTTGGTTTTTTGATCGCTGCATGGGATGGGATGGAATCTGTGCTGAGGCCAATCCAAAATACTATCCCGAACTTTCTAATCAGAGGCATTGTCATCTCATCCCTACCTGTGTCTCAGATGTGCCGAGAACGGTCAAGTTTTCAATGACAGATGCCTACGGCGGGGTAGTCAAAGACGATTCCCAACGCTTTGGGGTTAACGGGCACATGCATTCGCACCTAGCCAAATTCAAGGGCGAATTTCACGGGTTTCAAGAGTTGAAATGCACCACTATGGAGGCTGAGCTTTCCAGGTTGCGAATGCAAAGGTTTGATTTCATGAGTTTGGATGTAGAGGGGCATGAGCTTCCAATTTTGAAGGGGGTGGACTGGTCAAAAACGATTATTGATGTAATTGTGACAGAGAATCGCACTCCTCAAGTGCAAAAGCTTTTGGAGAGAGCGGGATATGTTTTGCACAAGAATATCCTGAAGGACTTCATTTACATCAGGAAAGGCAGCGGATATACGATTGGTGACGAATGGATCAAGGCGATGAAGGCGTTAGATCGTCGTACGTACTTGTTCCACATTTAGGGGCGGTGAGGGCAAGACAGTTTACTATTTTGTGACAAGTAGTGCGTTTAGAAGCAGAAGGGATGGAAAGTTGGTCGGGGGCTGAATGTTGCGATGCAGTGCTGCAAATAAGGGCCAGTTGAAAACCAATAAATGAGCACTGTATACAATGGGATTTCCCCTAATGCGGTAGGATTTCCGGACCTGTTTCATGACGTCCACTCAATGAGTGGGTTTCATGTTGATCTTCTTTGTTCTCGCCGTTGCCCAGCCCACCCGCACCTGCCCCATTGGTTTTAACTTGTCTTTCCTATGTGGCCGCGTCCAGGAGCATGAACGATCACGAGAATGACACTTGCTCACATCCCACCGCGAAAACGAAATGAAACCTCGAAGACGTGCTGCTCGTCTCTGGCGTCTATGGCTCCTTCCCGCTATTGCTCTTTTCCTCTTCTCCCTTTTTCTTCGGCACCACCGCACATCTTCCGTCCTTAATGATGGCGCACGTATCGCCTACTTCATTCAAGTGTCCGCAGCCAACCTTCCCCTCCTCAACCGGCTTCTTCTTACTATTTATGACCCGTCCAACTTTTACGCTCTACACTTGGACCTCAAGATCGACGAGCTCAAAGCCCTAGAATCCATGCGCTCAGCCTACCACGTGCTCAGTTCACGGTGGGGCGTGGGCTCGGAGCGCAACGTGCCGAATCTGTTGATCGTGCGCAGCGAGATCGTGACATACCGCGGGGCCACCATGACAATGAACTACCTCACAGGCGCCAATCGGCTCCTTGCAGGGGGTGACTGGGACTACTTTATCAACCTGTCGGGAGCGGACTACCCGACAGCATCGCAAAAAGCAATCCGCAGGCTGCTGGGGAAAGTGGGAAAGGGAAGGAACTTTGTGGAATGGAAACCGCAAAATACTTGGATGGGGTTTGCAGAGAAACGCTTTGGGGAATTCTACGTGGACACGGGGCTTGCAAAGCTGAAAAGTTCGACAAGTGAATTCGTAGATTTGAACGGGACGGAGGTGAGCAAGCAGGTGGAGGGGGTTGAAAGAACCATGAACCCGTTGTTTCGGGAGCTCGATTTCACAATTGCGAAGAGCAGCGGATGGTTTATCCTGTCACGGGAATTTTGCGAGCACTTGCGCGATGATAGCGACGCTCGTAAGCTGCTTGCACTTTTGGCGTTTAGCGACGCGTCTGATGAGCACTACTTCGCAAGTGTGCTGTGGAACGGTGGCGACCGATGGAGGGGTAGTGTTGTGAATAGCAATATGCGAACGATATTCTTTGTGGCGCCGAACGGGAGTTTTGCGATGGGAGAGGATGGGCAGAGGTCGAGACAACATCCGTTCTGGGTGGACGAGGCAGGGGAAGATGGGGTATTTCTGTTTGGGAAGCACCTGAAGAAAAGTCCAGGTTTCTTTACAAGAAAGGTGCGAGGGGATGGGGGGTTTAGGGATTGGATGGATAGGGAGATGATGGAGAAAGAGTACGAGGAGAGGTTAGAGAAGAGGTTTGATCAGGCGGTCATGGAGGCTGACAGGGTCAGGCGCCTGCACCAGGGGGCGGCTCAAGCTTCTGAGCATTCCGATGCCAGCGAGGATGCCACCAGCATATAGCGAAAATATATTCATTGCATGGGGCAAGTTTTGCATCGTTGCAATTACAGTGATAGATATTCCGCTATGCAACTTGAGCCATTGATCCGAGATATCTTTCCATGGTGGGGTCCTACTTCACGACACACCCCAACTCCGAGCGACGAACTTGCCACCCGAGACCCAGTCTCCGTCACGTGCCCGTCATCTCACTTCGTCAATCTCTAGCGAGATAGAGATTGCCCTCCTCCACAACTTCCTCGTCCATGACGACCCCTACCTCCCTGCACCCTTCCCAGAATGCCGTCCCGCGTTCGTATCTCTAACGACTCCCCTCCCGTCATCCGTACTCTTTTCTCGCTCTCCCTCGGCCTCCCCCTCCCACGCGACCCACGTCCTGCCTACTCCGCGTCCCTGCTCTCCCACGCCCATCACCAAACTTATCTCCACACGCACACTCTACTTCCACCACCCATCCACCCCATTTCCCCACACGATCTCTTCCCCTGCGAAACCTATAACACAGACACCTACCAACATGTCGACCTTCGCCACTACCCTTCTGGCGCAGTCGTCGACACCCTTCCGCAAGGCTACCGCATGCGCCCAGGCATGCTCCCTGCTTTCGACTACCGTCCCTCTGACGCCATCTTCGCCTACACTCTCCATGATCAGTTCGACGTCGACGTACATGGCATCCAGCACTCCATCCGTCTCGTCCAGTTTCCGCGACAACCGCATGACTCCACTGTCGTCTCGGGCGAGCTGCGCAACAGTGTTGTCTACGCGCTATCCCTAGCCCCTTCGGGCTGGAGCGTCGCCGCCACGGAGTCGAGCTCCACTTGCGTGTATTCCGCCCGCGACGGTACCAGCCGCCTCAAGCGCACGGCGTGCTTATCGCATCCTGACTATGCGTCGGGCTGCGTCACTCGCTTCTTTGATATCAAACGCGTGTTGACGGGGACGCGGGCGGGAAACTTGTACGCCTGGGACTTGCGACAGGAGCCCCAGTCAGGCCCGGTGTGGCTTGTCAGCGCAGCGAATAAGAACGGCAAAGTGCACGACATGCGCGTGTCGAGGTGCATGCCCGAGGTGTACGTGTCTGTAGCGGGAGACCGCACCAGTGACCTGGCGGTGTGGGATATGCGCATGGAGGGGGAGGCGTCCAGAAGGTTTGAGACGTCAGGTAGGTGGAGGGATGCCGTCTCATTTGATGTAGACGAGAGCGGTAGTGGGGGTGTTCTAGCAGCCGGGGGGTCTGATTGTCGGGTGGGGCTTTATGAGAGTAGGAAGGGGGGGAAGCCAGTAGAGGTTATTTCCTTCGGAACAGAGAGGCCGCAGAGGGTTATACTACAGGGATGGGGTGGCAGGGGGTTGAGTCGGTGGCCAGGCTTGTTGGTTGAGACGGAGATTCAGGGGTACATATTTGAAGTTGAGGGTAGGGGGGAGAATTGGTGAGGCGAGAGGCGGCAGTGGTTATGAGGTGGCCCCTTGTTCAAAAACTGTTTCGAGTTTCAAACTCAGCGAGTGCGATTTTGAGAAAGCCCAGCTTAAGTCTGCGTTTTGTGCTGGTCCACGAGGGTTACGCCCGGTGCGGCAGCACGGTGAATGTGTTGCCCCAGTGCTGCGAGGACTACTTCGCCTACGCTGGTAGTGGAAGATGAAGGTTGTACTCTGAGGAAGGATGCTTGCCAAGGAGCGGTGGGTTGTTATACGAGGGGACTGTGACGCAGATCTCAGAGTTTGCTATCAAATGCAGCGAGACTTATCCGAATCACGACGCGACCCGTTTTGCCGGATCGGTATCAGTTGGTACGCATCAACTGATATCTCTCCTGCCGCGTGAGTAATATAATGGTTTGGAGTGTTCTTTCATCGCTGCTGTTATCTCAGACTATCGCGTAAAAAGCTTGGTTTGATAGACTGCCTTCTGCGTGAACCCAAGTCGCCACTTCCACGGCTTTTTTTTATGGTCTAAATCGTCTACGTATTTGCCTGCGCAGTGTATACATCAAAGATGAGTGTGTACATTACGGATGCGCATGTAGAAAACGATTTTCGTCGATTTCGCAGTACGTACGAGCTGTGGACACTTGTTGCCTATCAAGCATTTCTTGGGCACAGTGTCCTCCTGCTTTTATACGTTCGGCTTGTGCGGAATGCGCATCAATGGAAGGATCGGATGGGTTCGAAAAAACACTAGACTACGTATTGAGTTACTTGTTGAGTTTGATATTTGAGCTAACGGCATTCGTGAATCTTTTCAGAGTACGAGCCTTTCTACCGGCTCTATTTCCTCTCGGGAGCGCCACCTCGGTCGTGGTCGGCGCCTTGGACTTTTTCCGAAGCAAACCCTTCAAGTTCATCGACTGACTCTGGGGCGAGGTATCAAGGGAACTGTCCTGTTGCTTCCCGCTGCGTACATCTTGTGACAAAGACCGCTTCGAGAATCCAGAGGGCTGTTGATCTAGGGCAGTTTCCTCTGAGGATTCGACATGTTCCTTTCTGGAGAGAAGCCCTTGCATGGAGCGGAAGGAGTCTTCCATCGGCGCAATGGGGCGCAGAGACGTCCGGCTGCGCTTACCATCCCACTTGTGCTTCGGAGAGGAGGCTGTCGGTTCTTCGTGACTGCCACGCTGGGATTGTGCAGTAGTAGGGGACGAGAGTGGGCCCGGTTGTTTGCGGGAACGATCGGGCAAGAGCTTGCGGGAGTTGAATTTGGTGGCCAGGGCGCGGGCAGGTGTGGTGGTTGTTTTCGGCTTGCGAGTGCCTCTCGACGACGAGACTCGTTGAGATGATTTCCTTTCCGGCGTCTTGGGCGGCGTGATGTCGATGCTGCCAACTCCGCTCGAGGAGCACGGGGAGAGGCTGTGGCCGCCAGGCGTACGGTCGCTGCCGATTTCGCTACCATCTGCTCCGAAGTGGACGTTGTCGGAGATGGATAGTCGAGTGGTGTTGTCGAGCGCCAGCGCGTTGGCGGCGGCCTGTGCTAGTTCCTTCTCCTTTGCGTTGAGAACTCTTGCATACGTGTCTTGATTGAAGTTGAGGGCCGCTTGAGCGCTGAGCAATACGTTGCGCACGGGGCCAGCCTGTCGCTCAGCAGACTGCAGTTTGGAGGTGGTTTCCTCCAGCGCAATTTCGGACTTGGCCATGTCGGTGGCCAGCAACTGGATCTTGCGTTCCAGCCGGACGTAGTCGTAGTGCAGATTGGAGGCGCGAGATTTCTCCGATTCTGAAAGCTTCAAGGCCTTGGTGAGCTCGATGTCTTTCTCTTCGACAAGGACCTCGAGGGAGGCGATGGCCCACGAGTTGTTTGTGGCGATAGCCTCTGTCTCGGACAGCGCCTGCGTCTTGATGGCAAGCGTGGCGGTGAGGGTTGCAAGCTTTTTCTTGATAGACGAGGCGGCCTTCTTCGCATTTTGAGCCTCCTTGCGCAGAGTATTTGCTTGCTCCGAAGCGGCAGATTGAAGGTCTGCAAGCTGGCGGTGGAGTGCCTTGTTAGCCTCCTCGGCTTCTGCGGCCATGGCTGCGCGTTGGTGGGTGAATTCGGTCTCTTTCTTGTCAAGCTGAGTTTTGAAGTCATGCGTGTCTGCGG